GTCTTAAAGAGAAAAGTGGACAAAGAATCGGTACGATAAAGTAGGCTAAAATATACTAAGATATGCTTTGCTTTATTGGGAAAGGAATGACACAATAAAACTTATTCATTTGTTAATTAGTGAGAAAATGAAATATCCAAATCCAATAATTGTACCACTATTCTTCATAGAAGGGCAATTTCTTAAAAAACAAAGAAAAATAAAGTAAAGAAGAAACAATGAAGTATGGTGATCTTCATAGAAGGGAAAATTAAAGCCAAAATGGATAGACATTAGAGATTCAATGTTGTGAATTTTAATTATGTGTATTTGGCAAGACTTTTGAGTTGATTATGGAAGAATTGATAAAAGTAAGTTAATATTTTAGTTAGAGGAATTCTCAAAGAGAACTTAGCTGTTGTGGATTATATTTTCATAATGATGCAGTGAAAATGGTGGTATCCATTTGCATTTGTACATGAGGAATGGTAAGTCAATTAAAATAACTTAAAAGATAAGTGCTTTTAAGTTTTATACACTTATTAATATACTAGTTAGTTAATTTCATCCTATAGTTTCAATTCATTTAGCTAATCATAAACATTTATCCCCTAATCTTATTATTTTTATTCAATCTTTCAACCTTCAATTAATTTTTAACTAGTTACTTGTACCCAAGAAAGCTTATGAGTTTATACATGTTCCTTTTAAGATAAAGTAATGGGATATACATATAAAAGTGTGAATAAAAAGACACATTTCAATGAATAAGACTCATCTCCAGTATTGTAGAGGGAAATGATCTCAAAAATAAAGAAAAATAATATATAATGATATTTGTATCCTTATATTTATCATGATAAGTCAATTTTACTCTTAGAAATAAAAAATAAAAAAGAAAGTGCTCAAAGTATAGGTAGATACCTCTTTGTTGAACAACAAGCTGAGAGAATGTCTTTTGTTTGTTTGGTCATCATCAACACCAGTATTCATCTGAGGTCGTGGTTCAGGTTCAGGTTCAGGTGCATTAACCTTTACATCAGAGTCATCCTTCAAAACTTTGGGTTTAGTTGCACAACCTCCCATTCTCTTTCTTTCTCAACTTCAAAAGTAGCTTTGATGTGATGAATTTTTCTGTGTTTTTTCTTTTATGTTAACTCAAAACTTGTGTAAAAGATATTAGAAAAACAAGGAGAAGGAGAAGGTGATGGACGTGCGTGGAAATCGCTGATAGCTAGCTATGTAAGTGAAATAGAAGAGGAGCTTATAAGGGAACCAATTTTAAATAACACTTTTATATATTAGCTAACTTATGAACACAAACTATTATAAGTGTAATGTGAATAATGTAAAAATATTATATTTATATTCTGAATATGATAAAAAAATAGGTATTATATATGGATTTAATTTATAAGTGAGAAGTGTATTTTTTTGTCTAGGCTCAAGTATCAGTATCGCCCAAAGTACAAATAAATTTTAAATGGACAACATCCATAATATAATGTGTTTAGTTTTCCCAGAATTTTTTAAAGTGTGATTTAAGGGATACGATGTAATTATAATAATCATTATTAACAAATGTTTTATTTCTTATCATTATGAAGGGGCAAATGTGCACACAACATCATCATCATGTCTTTAGGACTTAGGAGGAAAAAACAGAAAATGACTTCTGAGTTGTATTTGTGGTGTGCTTATAATTACGTCATGTTGGCCTATTAGAGTTTATACACTTAATTAATATTGGACTAACAATAACAATACTACAAATTTAAGACTTGGTTCTAGTAAGAATTTCTTTTGTTGTTAAATGACCAGTAACAATATGATCTCTTATTCTTATTTAAATACAGTTTTCGAAATTAATTTTCTAAAAATTCAGTTGAATTAAGTACTTTGTAGAAAAAATAGATCTTTATTGGGCTCAAATATGATTTGAAAAATACACATGTTTAAACCAAAAAAGATTTCATCATTGAAATCAACAATTGGTTTTAATTTTATAGTTTTTAACATTTATACTTATTAATGTAAAACTTACACTATAAATTTATCAATAATCGAGGTATTATAAATGGAATAATATGATTGTAGACTATTTTAACTTATTTTAAAAGGAATATCACCTTTAAACTTTTTGGGACCAAAATAATTAGATGGTGTTGGCTATCATTTGTGAAACATGTCTCTAAATTGTTAAAGAATATGTTAGAACCCTTTAAAGTCGCCGTTTGTCACGGATGGTATACCACGTTTCATCTATGCTATCCAACTCCACGCGCAATCTTTTAATTGTTAAAGAATATGTTAATTTCTTTCATCTTGTTAATAACCCAGGATTCAAATTAAACCCCTTCAGCAATCAACAAAAGTAAAGATACATAAACAGCATATTTGTTTCAAAGCAAATAACTAACACTTAACATAAACACATTGAAACGAAATGGTTGAGATAACCACAACAGTAAATCATGAAATTCGAAGTTGAAAAAACCCTAAGCCCTCTCTCCCCTAATTCTCCTAGCGAGTTGAATATCCTTAGGCATAATAGTAACTCTCTTTGCATGAATGGCGCAGAGATTGGTATCTTCAAAGAGACCAACAAGGTAAGCCTCAGCGGCTTCTTGAAGTGCAGAAACTGCACTGCTCTGGAATCTCAGATCTGTTTTGAAATCTTGAGCGATTTCACGAACAAGACGTTGGAATGGAAGTTTTCGGATCAGAAGCTCAGTGCTCTTCTGATACTTTCTGATTTCTCTCAATGCAACGGTTCCTGGCCTGAATCTGTGTGGCTTCTTCACTCCGCCGGTTGCCGGAGCTGATTTCCTAGCGGCCTTGGTTGCTAGCTGCTTCCTTGGAGCTTTGCCACCGGTGGATTTGCGAGCAGTTTGCTTTGTACGGGCCATGGAAAATTGGAGAAGGTTCTAGAATTGAATTGAAAACTGAATTGAAGTGAGAATGAGAATGGGTGAATTGGTTGAAGAGGGAAAGGGTGTATTTATAATTTGGGAGGTTCAGATTTTGGAGGGATTTTGATTTGGCGGATTTTCAAAACCAAAATTTGGAATTGGAGTGATCCGTGTGAAGGTGAATCGGACGGTTTTGGAATTGGGATAGTCGGTGTTTAAGAACGGATTGGATTGCGTTATGAGATATCACACGGATTCTTGTATATTTTTGTTTTTGGAGCCTTGGAGGGTTCACTTTGATTTCGCGCCTGTTTCATTTTTTGGCCTTTTTTGAAATATTAATAAGGCTCTTGTTTTTCCCGGTAAGGGATCCGCGACCTCTTTACTTGAATTTTTTATTTTATATAAGAGTTTTAGTTTTAATTTTAAGTGAGTGTAAATATATTTTTTAACTTTTTTATTTCACAAGATAAATTTTATGTGGAGAGATCCATATTAGATCAAACTAACTAAAAAAATAGTTCAATATTAAACTCTACTTGAGTCAATCCTGAATAAAGTCAAGTTGCGTTGACCCACATTTAACTCCACTCATTTCCACTTTCATGGTTTACATTGTTGTCCATTTTATTTCCAATGAAAGAGTTAAAAGAAATCTTACAAGGTAAAGAACAAAATGCATATGTGAAAATTAAAACTCATCCTACCACATTTTGTGTCTCTTAATCAAGTTAGGCTAACTTTAAATTGTACTATTCTGACAATTTTTGTTGTTGGTAATATCCTACCACAATTTTTGATATTTTAGTCATTCTAGGTATTTATAACTAGACTAATGCCAGTTGGTTAATAAGTGAGAAGTTGATATTTAGAAAGTTAGGGCGGAAGTAAATTAGGCAAAAGATACGTGTGCAATACACAAGGAAGATTGATTGCAACGACAGTGCGCCTCTGCCCCCATTAGGATTGCTTCATACGTTTAGATGCTGCAGCTAAGTGCTAGCATCATTTGTCTTGGGGCCACCATAAACGTGATTGAATGTGTTATAAAAGTATATGATTTGCATCGCTACATTAAGATTCAAAGTCCCCAAAAAGGCAAAAGGTGTCTTTGCTCTCTAATTCTTGGAAAGAGAAATGAATTCAAAAGAGGAGTTTGATGATTACTTATTCTTTTTTAAGTGAACACATATACATCAGTACTATTTTTGTTCAAGATATATATTAATTATTTTTTCTAATACCACTTGCCCTCGGTCTACTGGGTTAGATTGTATGAGCAAAGTAATTGAAAATATTATAAAATTTCTCGATACATATCACTGTTAACATTAATGTTCCAAAGGGGAAAGTATTCTTAAAATATAAACTTCAAATATACCAAAAAATGGGAAAAAGAATACATCACAATCACTTCCTTGCCACAAACAACATACTTCAGAAGTTGGCATGGATGAACCACGGATAACTCTCTGCCCAACACATCCAGAGCGCCACACAATATATGAAGCATCACCCTGAGAATAGACCCTCTTCATATGATATTTCCTCAACTCTTGTCCGTGGCAACATTGTTAACATTACATGACACAGACATGAAAAAGCAACTAGAACAAAAAATAAATCACCATTAAAACAATAAAGAATCCTTTGAACTTAGAAGCACTTCCTGTGGACAATGGATGGACCGGACTCGTCATATTCACCCTTTGATATCCACATCTGAAAAACCAAAACATGTTTTAGATCAATATAAATGGATCAAACTTGGAAGAGATAATTAATGATACAATAAATCACCTGCTGGAAGGTGCTGAGGGATGCAAGAATTGATCCTCCGATCCAGACACTATACTTTCTCTCTGGTGGAGCCACAACCTTAATCTTCATGCTGCTAGGAGCAAGAGCAGTAATCTCCTTGCTCATCCGGTCTGCAATGCCAGGGAACATAGTAGAACCACCACTAAGAACAATGTTGCCGTACAGATCCTTTCTGATGTCCACATCACACTTCATGATAGAGTTGTAGGTGGTTTCATGAATTCCAGCAGCTTCCATTCCGATCATAGATGGCTGGAAAAGAACCTCTGGGCAACGGAATCGCTCGGCGCCAATTGTGATAACTTGTCCATCAGGAAGCTCATAGCTTTTCTCAATTGAAGAACCAGTCTTGGCAGTCTCGAGTTCTTGTTCATAATCGAGGGCAATATATGCAAGCTTCTCCTTCATATCACGAACAATTTCTCGCTCAGCAGAGGTGGTGAACATGTACCCTCTCTCAGTGAGGATCTTCATCAGTGAATCAGTCAGATCACGACCAGCAAGATCCAACCGAAGGATGGCATGGGGGAGTGCATACCCCTCATAGATTGGTACAGTGTGACTCACACCATCACCAGAGTCCAAAACAATACCTGTTTTAAAAGGAACTGATTCAGGGACAACCGATGCAATCATGATAGAAGAATGAGTTAAAACATATGGTAATATACAAACCAGTTGTGCGTCCACTTGCATATAGAGAGAGGACAGCCTGGATGGCAACATACATGGCAGGCACACTGAAGGTCTCAAACATGATTTGGGTCATCTTTTCTCTGTTGGCCTTTGGGTTGAGAGGAGCCTCAGTGAGAAGCACTGGATGCTCCTCAGGAGCAATACGAAGCTCATTGTAGAATGTGTGATGCCAAATCTTCTCCATGTCATCCCAATTGCTGACTATACCATGCTCAATAGGGTACTTCAGAGTAAGAATACCTCTTTTTGATTGAGCCTCATCACCAACATAGGCGTCCTTTTGACCCATCCCAACCATAACACCAGTGTGTCGAGGCCGGCCGATAATACTGGGAAACACAGCCCTGGGTGCATCATCACCAGCAAATCCTGCCTGAATCATATTAAAGTCAATGGTTTAGTAATAAACCAAGACTCACATGAATATATAAAGCCACTAACTACCAAGTACTAACCTTGACCATTCCAGTTCCGTTGTCACAAACAAGAGGTTGAATATCCTCTGTGTCAGCCATCTTTTATCAACCTGCATAAAGCAACAGGCACCACAAAATACACAATATCAGTACAAACAACATTCTACGAACAACTGGTATAGAACCAAGCCATTTACCCTTTACAGAAGCCTTCGAAGATTAGGATTTATTGCAAATATCTATTTCAAAACAGATACAGCAGTATTTGCAATCAACTTTGCTAACCACTAGAAAAAGCAGCATTGTTTTAGAAGGAAAAATTCATAAATTTACTTTTTAATAAATATTTTATACAAGTTATACTTTTTTATTCTCTGACATTATATATAATTTATATTATTATTAATTCATAATTGATTTTAGTTATTAAACTATAATAACAAATTATACACCTGCCATTGAAATTATATCCCTGTAATAATTATTTATCTAATATTGATTATTACAAATATATAATTATATATATATATATATATACACATGTCCCATTTCTAATTTTAAATCCTAAACAGGGAAAGAGAACCATTATACACATGTAACAAAACAAATCGTCCAGGTCTCAGAGCTGTAGTACAAAGAGTATAGACACATAGAGAAACACTTTAAACAAAACACGATTCTACTAATGTATGAGGCTATCTAACACATAGAGAAACACTTTAAACAAAACTAAAGATACATTTTCGAATTGATTCAAAGAATCGGCAAAAGGAAACGCATAGTTTGCACCGTTTTATGGTTGAGTAGTAAAATGCAAGAATAAAATTGACTTAAGTAGTATAAAATGATTGAGATCTAAGAGGGATTATTAGATATAGAATTATTACCTTTGAGATAAGAGAAGAGGAAAAAGTGGAAGAATACGATGAGTTTGACACCTGAGAACGGGAATGGAGGGTGAGAAATGACACGAGAGAAGCGAGGGGTTTATATACACACAGATAGTAGGGTGGGTCCGTTACGGTCTGTTCGAAAATTGAATTTTTTTAGAGTAACACGGGTTAAAACTTGTATTTACCCGATCTTAATATTAATTGAGTTTATATTTTTTGAATCCAAATTTAAACTCGAAACTAATTTGATCATAAATATTTATCGGATTAACATATTTATTTTTTATAAAGTCTGTTATATAATATGATATATGTATATATATTTATGACACAAAATTATATAATCAATTATACTTATGACTAATAGTGTGTCATTGTTCTCTACGCATTTGAATAGATAGATATGATACATACAAATATGATGACTGAGTATCAGACGAGTCAGACTCGGTCATGTTTGTTCTCTATCTAACATAAGTATTAATCCGATCTAATTTTTGAACCAAAATTTAAATCTGATAAAACCTGAACAATCATGATCCTATTTAAATATAAATGATTATAACTTTCTTCCCCTCATATTTAAAAACCTTAAATAGGAAAGAAGGTAGGAATCCAGCAAAGCTGTGAAGTTTGGACTTTGATGGGAGTGGCAAATGTGCACACATCATCACCATGTCTTTACTAGGAAGAAAAAAAAACTTCTCAGCTGTAGTTGTGGTGTGCTTATAATTGCATCGTGTTGGCCTATTAGAGTTTGGTGCACTTAATTAATATTGGACACAACAACAAAACAACAGGACAAATTTAAGACTTGGATCAAATGTGAATTTCTTTTGTTGCATTACTTTGTAATTTTATTATTATTTTAATATATTTTATCCAACTAAAATATGATAATCTCCCTCCTGAAAAATGTAATGTTTTTGCTATAAAAAAATTCTTCATTGAAATCAATAATTTATTTCAATTTTAAAACAAATAGATCGTGTTGCCCATCACTCATCACACCTTCCAAAACTAAAGATACATGTTTGTTGAATTTTTTTGTTCTTCATGAGTTAGTTAGATAGGTTATTTAGGTGATTTATATATAGCCTAGGGAATTTAACATGGTTAGGTCCTATAAGATATGCTATCTGGCTTTGATATAGAGTATATGAAATTATATCATAAAGTATTTAGTGACTGGTTGCTTATTAGAATATTCCACAGGGTTGGTCAGCTTGATGAGTTTAACTTTTTATCTTGACTGGTTAGCATTGCAATTAAATTAATAACAAATCACCCAAATGGCAATATGTTTAAGCCATGGATTTGATCTGCAATCTGATTCTAATAGTCTCCAACTGTACTTTTACGCGTATAGTGGTATGATATTGTAAATTTAATGAAGAAAGGTACTAGGAGACAAGTGGAGAGGCTTCTCTTTTGCTTTTTATATGTTTAGCTTTGTGCTGATTAACAATTGAGCTATCCATAGTGAACCTATAACTTTTTCTTCTTATCTGTTTTTTTTATCGGCCCTTGTTGTCGCTTGTTGCATTCTCCATGAGTATATGTGATTAGACAAGAATTCTCAGAGTACCTTAGTACCAAACCTTATCCACAATTCAAAATAGTGGTTACTGGTTAGGCTTATTGGAAATAGAGAGGAAATAACTGAATTATTGTTGTGTAGGATGTACATTAGGTGTTCATATTTATAGGATTGATACATAATAATGAGTCTAAGCACAGATCAAGTCTTAGCTTAGTGAAAATCAAATCATATTAAACTATTTTTTTAAATCAAATCAAATTTTGACTATTTCATCATCCAAAATCACAAGCATCCGAGGATGATTATTGGCAAGGGTAACATGTTTGAAGGACTTTAAACTCTATTTTTTAAAGACAGTTAAATATGACAGATCTTCTACTGCTTTTCCTTTTTACAATAGTTCTGTTTCTAGTTTCAATAATGTTTAGTTTTGATGAATTCTAGTACATTCTGCAATGACTGTTAATAACCCATAACTATGGTATGCTAGATTTGGTCACTTGTCAGCTAAAGTATTCACATTGTTTCAATAAAGTTTAGATGATACATGTCTAAACATCCATTTGAATTGGTGCATTGTGATATATGGGAATCTAACATGGACCTACTTGATCAAGTAATTGATACACATTCAATTTGGCATTGTAACCAAATAACTAAGGTCTCACAATGCAAAAGCATTGGCCCTACTCAGTTCCTTGCGAATGAAGGCACACTTCACCCTGTTTAATGTGGATAAGGCCTTGCTATTTTTTAGTCCATGGTGCCTATGTCCTCTTCGCGAGTTTGCTTATCCACAACTACTTTCCTCATGAACAGAACCCCATCTCCGAACTCCACAAGTTCTTCATCGCCCGGGGTCAAGAAATCCTAGAGTGACTCTTCACCCGTTACATTTGGCACTGGATCATTTTTTGGTTGTCATATTAGTGTAGGTGGATGGCATTATATGCACTGGACCAGATTGAGTAATGATTCATAAAGTGCAGCTAACACTAGAACAATCTTTCAAGCTTTGGCAAAGGGATCATTATATGCCATTGACAAACCAGCAATAGAGAGTAGAAATTTTTAAATTAGCTTGATTCCCTATAGTTACGCACCAAACTTTCTGGCTCGAGTGGTTCAATCCTTATAATGGTTTCCAGCTCTGGCACTGGTACCACACGCCGAGGTTGTGATCCAACAATCTTGTGGCGAGTCTCGATGAGGCACTGTCTGCACTTGGGGCAAGATGAGTGTAAACTAAGCCATTTATCAATACAAGGAACATGGAAACCATGGTTGCACTTAGGCAAAATGCGAACCTTCTCATCCTTGGTGAACTCTGAGAGGCATATTACACACTCAGTGTCCATACATGGAAGATTCATCTCAGTTGAATAGGTTACTATAGAGAAAGTCTTAAGAACTTTTTTCTTGATTCCCATGTTAACTATTCTTGGTGAAAGGTTGCTTGTTCTAGATGAGTCAATACCAATGACCAAGTATGAACACCTTAACACACATCTTATGATGGAGTTCAACCCTAGTAAACAAATAACAGCACACAATAGGACTGAAAGTATCATGACAACATTTGCATCGAAATTTCGGCCACTGAAGTATAGATTTGTGGAGTTATGGCTGTTTATGGAAGCAGCAGGGGGGTTGGCTTGGTTAAATGGGTTTTGAAGGAGTAACTTTCTTGAGTGAGAGTCCCCAAGAAGTTGATGGATGTTTTGTGATGTAAAGGAAGTAAAAGCATACATGTTTGTTATTGGAATTCTTTGTTTGTTTTTCTTGATGAGTTAGTTAGGTGGTTGCATGAGGGGACTTATATTTATAGGCAAGGGAGGTTAACATTGTATAGGTCCTATAGGATATATATAATATCTGTCTTTGGATGATATAATAGAGTGTTACATTATGTATATTGTGTATTAAACCATGGGTATTTTAGTCTTCAGAATATACTAAAGTTATTTTGACATGAAATTGTTTAACAATGCTCACACCACCATGCAAGTTGCTAGATCACAATCTCTCGAGTTGTGGCATCTAACTAAAGCAACATTGTAATTAATAAGAAAAATTATCCAAATGGCAAAATGTTTAAGCCATGGATTTGATATGCAATCTGTTTCTGATATTTTCCAGTTCTACTTCTACACGGAAAGTGATAGTGTATAAGGTAGGATATTATAAACTTTATGAAAAACAGGTACGAGGAGACTAGTGGGTGTGCTTCTTTTTTGTTTTTTTA